GCTTCTGTGCATCAGAGCAATCGCGGCTGTTTCAGCAATTGATCAGCCTGCCACACTATTTACAAAAACACTCATAACTAATTCTATTTTTTTATGTATATGGCATTACTGTGCTTTTTTTCTGTTATTTTGTTTTTATGCATCTGTCTTAATATTAATAAATCAAAACAAATGAGGTTACACATGATCAGTTTGTTTGTCAATCTCGTGCCTGCTGTAAACTCAAAATCAGGCCAAGTCCGTTTGAGGTCAGTCGTCGACATCAAGGTGAAGCTAAAGTGCAGTAACATCGTAAGGCAGACAACAGCAACAGAAAATAGGGGCTCCGTCCCAGACACGGCCCAGTCAGAAATGTGGTGAATACCAACCTTGTTTTTGACATTAATGTAGCTTTTCTGTATTCACTCCCTGCGTAAGTCATATCAGCCTCAGGTGAGATGCATTTTTAAATGTGAGGCTCAGCAACAGGCGTTAGGGGAGGGTCATGGTGATGGAACGTTAAGACAAATACACGTATTCCGCCTCTAGGCAGAAACTTTTGGTGCTTTAAATGTGGACACAGCTTGTATTATGTATTAATACAGATACAGGAATTCAATTTTAATTGTTCAGGGATTAGCAGGGATGCTGAAAATGTATGAAAATGTCCTTTGAAATGTTTGAATGTGATTTACACTTGTAGCATGCTGAACTCGGTATGCGACACTGGCAAAGACACGTGTATGAGGGATGTTTTTGTACACGAGACAGCAGGCTCATTGTGTCGCCCTCTGGTATTCCTTTGTCTCCACCTGCCACTGATTTCTGAAGTTGTCAAGTGGGGTAATTATTCTATAATAAGGGACTTTTCCTTTTTGTTTCCTCCTCTCTCTCTGTCTTTCACTCAGCCGGAGATGGACTCAAGGGTAAATGGAGTGTCGTCGTCAACTGTGCATGATCAAGGAGCACTTACTGAAAACTCAGGTGAGACACTCAAGCTCAAAAAGACTTGCATGCTCAGACACTTAACTGTTGATGTTGGTATATGAAGCTCTGCCCTTGGATTTCAGTCCCTATGGTAGAAGCTACCTTTTATAGCTTTTTGCAGAATTTAGCAGCTACACTGAAAGTTTGAACATGAGCTGACGACACAGAAAAAGATTCACACTTTCTCTGTTAAGGGAACCTTGTTGCTCACTGTGGTGTGGTGCCATATTAAAGTGTGTCTGAGGTCACTGTAATTCTCTGTGTGTGTGTATGTGTGTGTGTGTGTGTGTTCAGATGAGTTGCTGGACTCCTACCACAGTAGCTCTGACCTGGCAGATGTAATGGAGCAGATTAACAACTCCTTTCCTGCATGCAGTTGTAAGTTTCCCACTGCTCCTCCTCCTTCGCTCTCCCA